AATTTGTGCCAATGCAGTTGAAGAAATTTTCAACTATAGTGTCAAATCTATATGTAAATTGCAGGTCCTGTGTAAAAATAAAGAAATGCAAGGAAGTGGAAAATGGAGCTTCTAGTACACTCTTGCAAATATACTTACAAAATATATTAATTTGCAAACGAGTTCAGTTATCTGAATTTCTCTGTTGTATTTCCATTTTGACCACTTGGCAAGCTGTTTCAAGGAATTCTTTCTGTTAAGTGCATTCATGGAAGAGATAATCTCTCTTCTTTACCATCCATACCATACCAATCATATAATCATAGAGATGACCATCTTTACTTTGCAATTAGCACAGATGGTAAAAGGACACTGGGAGTTACCTGGTTTTTTTCAGCCCATTCAGTCATCTGCTTACCTGAAGCGACTTGCCAGAACTATAAAATATAATAGTGCCATGGCAGATCAATTTGTTATATTGGAAGGTTATATTTAAAGCAGGTTGGTGATATCAAGAGTTTAAATTATTTGATCCATTGCCCTGGGATAAGAAATGACAGAAACATTTATAGCAAGAGATTAACCTAGGGCAATGGAGATTCTGCATTTATTTGTCAAATATCTATTGTCTACAATTACAATACCAAATCAAAACTCAAATGCCAAATATAAATTTAAGATAGACTTTCAATTACTGTAAGAATAACTTGTATCGTTGCCTTATGAAAAATTTTAATAATAATTTTTATTGTTAGAAATAATGTATTATGTTATAGCTTTTTAAGAAAAACCTATGTGATAAAAAGAATGTTTGACGTCCATCTTTTCCTTCCTTAGAAAATGGCAGTCATTCTGGATTAATATGATTATGGTTTAGAACTACTTCAGTATTAGAAGTTTTCTTCTACTCTTTATTTTTCGTTCTGAATGAAGGCTAGCTAGAGAAAATGTGCCTTGTTGTATAATTGTAAAACAGAAATAAATCCTTCCATAGTGGCACAAATTTATTTTCTTTCCTTCATAGGACACCATGGTTTAATGGATGGGGTTTTAATCTACCCAGAGGTCAATCTTTGTTGGACAAGTGGAACCTTATTCCGGAAGGCATAGATATACTAATGACCCATGGGCCTCCTCTTGGTAAGTATCACAATTAAACTAAGATCACTCTCAGTGTGTGTGCTTTAGCACAGACATTAAGGGCATTCAGATAGATTGATATAGATTGATTGATGCAAGGACAAATGGAAGCAAATAGATGATTTTTCAATTCTACTGTATGCAGTGGTATCCTCAACTGGATTCTCTAAGTAAAAACTGATTCATGCATCAATTCTCCTTTTGCTGATTTGCAGTAACATTCTGGAAGGAAATTAAATCTCCATTTTAAATAGAAATAGCACTTGCTTACATACCACTCCATAGTGCTTTACAGCTAGAGATAAGCAGTTTACAGAATCAGCATATTGCCCCAACAATCCAGGTCCTCATTTTAACAACCTTGGAAGGATGGAGGGCTGAGTCAACCAGATCCTGAGCTAGTCAGGACCAAACCCTTGGCAGTGGCTGGAGTTAGCCTGCCATACTGCATTCTACCCACTGTGCCACCACAGCTTTTGCAGTGATGTAGAAACTAACTTTTATGAAAATCCTCACTTTTTAATGAGGTTTTGAATTCTTGCTCCAAATAGGATCTGTGAAGAGATGATAGTGATAATAGGGAGCACAATAAAATCCATGTAGTCCAGGCATGCCAGAGATTACACTGCTGAACCCTTCCTTTGGCACTGTTTATACATTATAGCAGTATGGAGATTGCTTTGCTCTGGCATCCTCCCTCATTGTGTTCAAACATTTAAAAGTCAGCATCAAAAGGCTGAGTTCAGTCATAGAAAAATTTTCAAGGCAATTGTCCAATTGGAATTGAGAAGAACAACCCTGTCGGGTTGGAAGAAGCCACACTGTCAGCTTTACTTCTGTGATCATTTAGAACATCAAAATGAGAGAAAAGTAGCTTCTAGGCACTCTCTGTCCAAAATATTATTCCATTAACTGTGCTGCTTTTCCTCTTCTTCCAAGCCATCACCAAACCCACTGATTGGCAGTCTCTGTTCACCCTCCCAATTTGGGTTGTTTGCTTTCCTTTGCCTGCAAGTGTTAATTCCACTGTCGAAAAAGGGTGACTCTGAAAATTGCTCCAATTATTGCACAATTCCTCTCATCCCTCACATTAGCACAGTTCTGCTTAAAATAATACAACAATGTTTACACCTACTATTGGAAGGCAATTACCTGATATCCAAGCCAGCTTCCAAAGGGATCTGTTGATCATGAGAAGCTATGGAGAACCCTACAAGACCTTGGTGTATGAGCACATCTGATCAAGTTGGTGCAATCACTGTACCAGAAATCAAGAAACCACTATGCGAACACTGTATGGAGACACCAATTGGTTTAAGATAAAGGAGTGCAACAAGGTTGCATTCTCTCATCCTTCTTATTCAACCTGTATGCTGAAATGATCATGAGGAAGCCATATCTTTGAGAATCAAAAATCAGGGTAAATACACTGACAATACAACTCTTCTCTCAGAAACCAAAGAAGGCCTGGAACATCTGATAAAGAAAATCAAAGAAGAAACTGAGAATTTTGGTCTCTTTTTCAAAAAGACCAAGCTCATGACTACTGCAAGAAATGGAAACATCAAAATAGAAATTGACGTTGAAGAGATAGAATGAATAGAAAAGTTTCCTAGGATCGCAGATAACTCAAAGCAGTAAATGCAGCCCAGTAATAAAACATTGGATTGCATTGGGTCACACAGCAATGATGAACATGAATCAAATCTGGGAAAAAGCAAGGATATCAGCCTGGCAACTAAATGTAAATTAGTCTACTCTGTTGTGTCCCATAGCTACCTATGGCTGTGAAAGTTGGACCTTTAAAAAGCCAGACACGAAGAAAATCAACTTGTTTGAGCTGTGGTGCTGGAGAAGGCTCCTGTATATTCCTTGGGCAGCATAGGTGACTGGACGTATAACGCCAGACATGTCACTAGAAGGCAACTGTGTCTCACTTATTTTGGCCATGTCATGCAGGGGAATTCGCTGGAGAAAGCAATTATCTTTGAAAGCGTTGCGATAAATGAAAAACAGGCTGACAAAGGACACGATGGCTGGACATCATCAAAGTTGACCCCAGCCAGAGCAAAAAAAACCCTCAAAGAAGCAGTGCAAGATCGGAAGATGTGGAGACATCTGGAACATAGAATCACCAAGAGTCAGACATGATTGAATTGATAACATCATCATTGCTTGCAAGTCATCAGGATACTTCCACTCCATTGTGGATATAATTACTAAAGAGTAAATAAAAAATAAAAAATGGAAATTTCAGCTAGTCCCTCTTTATCAGACCAATCTATCTCACAGAGTAGTTGTATGGAAAAATGTGATGAGGGAGTACTATATACAGGATCTTGAGCTCCAGAAGAAAACCCAAAATATAAATGTAATAAACAAGCAAACTATACTAGTTATGCAGTTCTTAGCAAACTGGATCGTAATTTGTGTTTGTAAGCATTATGCCAAAAATGTAATTTTTTGTAAAAATGTACACCTGGGTTAGATTATTTACGTAAGACATAAACATAGAAACCAACTGAAAGTTTCACTGTGTTGTAATATAGAATTAACCAAATTTGACCCAGGTAAAACACTTCTGAAGTTGATTAAATAATATTAAGGAGGAATGTGCAGCCACCATTCATATATGATTTAGCTGTTCCCTCTCTTAGATCTTTCTTATCCCTTTAACTTTTATAAATGCAGAATATTAGACCTCAAACCTTTGCTATAATTGATGTCAGATTCATTGGTATATATATTTTTGCATTACCTATAGACCTTAATGGCTTTCTTTTTAATAGTAGTCAATCATTACTACTTTCCTTAGAGGCCTTTTAATAATTTTCCTCTATTACAGTTTTACTTACAGTTTTTGTACTAAAAAAGTATTGGTAGGAGCTTGTCCTTCTTGAAATGATAGTTATTGTCTTTTTTAACAAATATTTTCAGTACAATAAAAGTATACAAAATTAAAAGAACAAGAAAAATAATAGAGAAAAATGAAATAACAAAAAGAATTATAACTTCTGCTTTTTCTTTTATCAAGTAAGAGAACATCTGAGCTCATGGTTGAACTATGGAGTTCTTGGTGCTCTGAGCTTGGTTGTTTCCTTGAAGATGTTTCTTATCCAACTAGTGTCAGAAGTACTTACCACACCCCTGGCTCCAACAAGAAACAAGCCGTTGAGTTCACAGGTGGCTGGCTTTAATCACGGAACGTTCTGGCATGCGTTTAGTCACAGAAACAGCAAACAAAGTTAGCGCTAGGAGCAATCGCCTCCCAGCACCTTACATATGCATTTCCCCAACTGGGCCCCACCCCCACCCACCTAACCAGCATCCGGTGTGCGAGTTGATAAGAGCAGCCAGGCAGGACGCACTGCAGGCTCCCAGCTCCGTGTAGCTTCCCTGCGCTGACCAACTGTTCGTCGGGACGCGCATCAGGCTTCTGTTGTCCTGGTGCTTCCCTGCACCGAACAGCTGCTTGACAGGCTGGCCGTGGAGCCAGTCAGCTGTTGGGCGGGACAACCACGGAGCTGATGGCCATGCCGCCATGCTCTGCCAGGTTCCCCTTCGATGGTCCAGGTAACAGGAGAGGGAAGGGCTGTCTCCTTTGGTTTTGTCGCTGGCCTCCGCTGTAACTGGACGTCCCCCAGGTGCTGTCCTTGTCCCCCTCCCCCCTCCCATCAGTGTCGAGCCCACAGAATTTTTATTTATTTATTTATTTATTAATTGCATTTATATCCCGCCCTTCTCCTTACGGACTCAGGGCGGCTGACAATTGAATAAAATACTAACATATATACATACTTAATTAAAATTTGATTAAAACGAAATATTTAAATATGTCCAATTTAAAAGTAATTAAAACCCCCTTTAAAATCCCTCAGGCCAGTCCCGCTAG